AGACGCACCTGCTGAAAAATCCAGGGGCTGCCTTTGGAAGGGCTGGTCTCGCTGCTGGGCAGAGGCGGGACTGGCTTGACAATCAAGGAGAGACCGGAGCCACCCTATCGACAAGGGGTGTTCCCATGTCGTCTCTAATCCAAGAGCCGGTCTGGTGCCATGATCTCCAGCAACGCCCACTCCCCACGCGATGAGTGAATCTGGTTTTCAGCTAACTCCGCCTCTGCTTCTTGGGAACCCATCTTTCGTTCACCCTGCTGCGGGGACTCGCGAGCACATCTTTCCTTGGCAGACTGGCCAACAAACGCCTGCATGAGCATGCTGCAACCCAGCCCCGCGGAAATGGGAACGGGGGCCACTGTCTACTAAAACCACTGTACTGTACATAGAGGAAACTACACAGAGGCTGTGGGTTAGGTGCCCTAGCGCCTTCCGGCATGGAGCAGAGATGGAGAGAAGGACAGTGCGACCAGCTTGCACGCCCCTCCTTGGTGGTCTCCATCAGCATCAAAGCCGCTCAGAAATTGCCCTGCACGTCAGAGGAGGGGCTGCCCACGGGTCCGTGCAGTCCCTCGGAGAGTAGGTTTGCCAGTTCATGGCTGGTCCAGGATGGTTCAGTCTTGAGAAGGTCCCAATCCTGCTTAGGTTCCTCCTGCATGCAGCTGAGCTGCACCACTGGAGTCAGGGGAACTATTCCTGGGCATCTCCTGTGGACTGGGGCCCAAAAGGCCACCCCGCCCCTGGAGAAATGGAGGGTTCCTCTGGTATCCTCCTGCATGTAGGGTCCCCTTCTGAATGCCTCGCGCTGGCGGGGCTCTTGGCAAAGCTGACTCCTGGTCCAGCCCTGTCGGTAGCCACCCCTCCAAGAAGCCAGTCTGAAGAGCAGCTGGTCAGCCTGCCCAGCAGCCTCTGTGTACTTTGCTACTTCGACACGCGACTGTCTTAAACCAACTTCTTTTAGTTTAGTTACGACAAGGATTCAGCTGAAATCTTCTGTCCCTCCTGCTGTTGTAAGCAGCCTGCCGAGGGTGCCGGCTCTCCTTTGCCCTTTGGTTTCCGTATTAAGCGCACTTTTACTGGAGGGGAGGGGTTTTCTTTCATGTGCCACAATTTGGAAAATGGTTTTTATTTTATGTTCTATTGTACAAAATAAAATCTGTATCTGTTCCTTCTCCTGGCGTGTGTGTCCACCAGGCCTCCGGGCTTGCAGGGTCTTTCATCTGAAGCCGAGCAGGAGCTGGAAGGTAGAACTCTGGCCGTATTAAGCGCACTTTTACTGGAGGGGAGGGGTTTTCTTTCATGTGCCACAATTTGGAAAATGGTTTTTATTTTATGTTCTATTGTACAAAATAAAATCTGTATCTGTTCCTTCTCCTGGCGTGTGTGTCCACCAGGCCTCCGGGCTTGCAGGGTCTTTCATCTGAAGCCGAGCAGGAGCTGGAAGGTAGAACTCTGGCCTTAGGTGGAAAGCGGGCCGATGGGCCAAAGCTAGCCGCTTCCAGTCCGTCTGCTGGGGAGGGCCAGAGGCCTCTGCCACAGCACACTCATGCAAAGCGTCATCTGCGAATTGCTCCCCGGAGTCCCTAACAATACACTCTCTCCAATTCTTGTCCCACTCACACCGTCCTATCGGAACACCTGCCTCCATCGGCCATTGCAATTCTCTGATAAACGCACGCTCCTTCAGTGACAGAGAGGATGAGGAGTTATGTACAGGGCTCTGTTCAAATTTATTTTGGGATGAGTTTTGGGCTCCCAGCGTGGCCTACAGGGGCACAGGGATTTAGGGTGCAAATCTTTTTAAATATAGTTTGACATCTCATATTGTACTTACATGGAAAAGAACATACATAATCCGTAGAACGTTAACACTGCGGGAGTCACTTCTTTCCGTTAGAGGGGACAATTGTTTAATTGCCCTGCATGACAATACTGACCATAGTCATGGGCTGCTGAGCCAGGAGGAATTCTTTCCAACAGTG